GCCCAGGCATTAATGGTGTAACAGAAATAGCCTCAAAGAAACTCAGAACTTGGGGAAATAGATGGATACCAAACAGACGGGAAAGTAGCTTATTGCATAACAAAATATGCTACCAAAGGACAAAGCTTTAAAAAGAACTGTTGAATTGCTCATGCTTCGCTCTTCTTCCCTAAGTACAATCTTCACATTGTTTGGAGAAAATGACGTTTCCAACACGACAGTAGAAGCTGGGGAACAGGATGCACTGCTTTCCTCCCTTGGAAGTGCGATGATGTGGGCTGGCAGCAGCAGCTGCAGAAACCATCATCAGCTCACCAGGAAACCTGGGCACCGGATGTCACATTTGTGCAGGTTGGGACTGCACAGTGGCTGCCGGGGAGCCCAGCTCCTGTTTGCAGTCAGACCTCCTCACTGTGATGGCATGAGAAGGGGGCTCCGTAGCTGATTCATTTAAAAACTTTGCTCTGAATCAACAAGCTGCATCGGTGCACTCAGCCTAAGAAGCATTCTGAGGGTGGTGGTGAGGGGGGAACACATCATTCATCTTATTCTAACAATGCTGCTCTTAGAACGGAGCTATGAAGAGATGTACATTACCCACAAAGTCCCAAGAAAGGCAGGGACTGTATGGACAGAGACCAGGAGGCATCCAGACTCAGGGCTGCTGGGCCCAGCCCCGACAACAGCTCTGTCCTGCTGATGTGCATAGAGAGCCTTCTTGGCTGCGAGCTTCCTTAGACAATGACCTATTTGTGCTATTCCAAAATCTCCCTTGCCACACGCCCTGAGGAAACCCTCACTGCGTGGTTTTCCAAGCTCTGGAGCTTCTGTGACTTGGTGGAGGGATCTCCTCTGCTCTTCCCCTGCTTTTTCATTATCCTTTATTAAGTTTCCTGCATTGGTTTCTATCACAAATTAGCACGAACTCGGTGGCTTAAAACAATAGAAATCTAGTTTTTTATAGTTCTGGAGGCCAGACATACACAATCAGTATTGCTAGGATGAAATCAAAGGGTCAGCAGGGCTGCTCCCCTCCGGGTGCTGTGGGGAGGATCTGTTCTTGGCCTCTTTCAGTCTGGAGTGGCTGCCAGCGTTCCTTGGCTTGTAGCCCATCATTACAGTTTTCAAGATTAGTGTCTTCAAATCTCTCTCTGTTCCATCTTCATATTGCCTTCTCGTGTGTGTGTGTGTGTGTGTGTGTGTGTGTGTGTGTGTGTAATTTCCCTCTGCCACTTGTGATGGCATTTAGGGCCCAAGTGGATAGTCCAGGATAATCTCCCCATTTCAAGATCCTTTAACTTAATCACATCTGCAAAGACTCTTTTCCTGAATGAGGGAACATCTGCAGCCTCCAGGGATCAGGGCATGACTATCTTTGAGCAAGTTTTCAGCTCACCACATGACTGCATTCAGGGCCAATTTCAAGTGTACAGACCTCAGACTGTATCACTTCAGAATTACTTTATCAAGGCTCCTCCTCTGTGTCTATAGAGGTTCAGTCATAGCCCATCTTCCGTCCTTTGGCCTCTGGACTCTTGCCCTGGTAGCCGTCTCCTTTTAGCCCTGGTTGCATCTTATTCTAGGGTTACCTCCAACTAGAAAGTTCTGGTAACTGGAGTGTAGAGGTAGGTAAAGAGAACCACCCTTACAGGAAGAGAATTCTGAAAACAGTGAAGTCAAATTTTTAGCTACAGGTGAGTAAGAAAATGTCAGGGACCGGTTGATGTCTCTTCGACAACACTGAGAAACACAGACTCATCTTGACAGCACTGCTTTGACGTACACAGCTGACATTCCCAGCTTTACCATGGCCTCAGCAGGTGAGTGTCTGTGCCAAGATATTTGGTGCCCACCATACATAGCACAGTGCTTGCTTTGCTTTAGGCCCAGCCCGAATGAGGGGAGAGGTGCACACTTCTCTGTGGAGTCGGGGTGGGGGTCTTCTGTATATAGACCTGCTGTAGGCTTATATCTAGACAGCTTTGGATGCAAACCTCTGCAGTCTACTAGCTGCATGACACTGAGTGAGGTAATGTACATTTCTTCCTCTGTAAAACTGGCATAATGATGATTATTTTTCCAAGTAGTTGAGAACAATAAAGAGAATATATTGGGCATCTCTAAAGCATTGCCAAGAACAAAGAGGTCCTCAAACAAACACACTGTGTTCCTCTATTCTATTTTCAGAATACTTCTTTTGAACAACAAATATGTGGATTTTCCACCCTAAGCAATTCTGACACTGTCTGGAGTTAAGGACTCAGTCCCACAAAACTGCTGACCCCCCTGCCCTTCGGACACCAAGTGCAAGTCTAGGTTGTCACCTGTGCTTCTGATCCACTGGCTATAAATAGGGGGTTCCCACGACCCCCTCCGGGTTTGATGATTTGCTAGAGTGACTCACAGAACTCAGGAGAATATTTGATTTGCCATATTACTGGTTTGCTATTAAAGGACACAACTCATGGACGGCCAGATGGGAGAGATGCACAGGGCAAGGTATATGGGAAGGGACGCAGCGCTTACATGCCCTCCTCGGGTGTGCCGCCCCGCCCCCCAGCACCTCTGTGTTTAGCAACCTGGAAGCTCTCCATACCCCTTTGGTTTGGGGTTTTCTATGGAGGCTTCATTACAAGGGCGCGACTGATTAAATCATTGGCCATTGGTAATTAACTTGACCTCCAGTCCTTCTACCCTCCCCAGAGGTTAGTGGGTGGAGGTTGGAAAGTTCCAACCCTCTAATCACAGGGCGGGATCCTCAGGCAACCAGCCCTCCTCCTGAGACTATGCAGGAGCCCTCCAGCCACCAGCCACCTCATAAACACCCAATAAGACAATTATCACTCCCACTCTTGAGATGGCAAAGGTTGGAGGAGCTCTGCCAGGAACCAGGGACAGAGATTAAATATATGTCATTTATTATATCCAATATCAGTGCTCAATAAATGGTAACTACCATGTGGTTATTATCAGCATTGCATCTCCCATGGGAAATAATGAATGCTTCACAAATATTTGCTGGTAATATTAAGGCCAATACAGGTGACTTAAAACAGTAAGAACGAGAATCTGAACATCAGGGACACAATTAGATTCAGGAAAGGAACGGCTGTGGTTTTCAGAAGACAGCCAATCCATCAGCGAAAGTGGCTTTGAAAAGCGAGGCAAGAATCCCCAGCATGTGAGCAGCAGTAGCTATCTAGTGAGAACAGAGGTTATTTACTGGTAGAGGGTCATGAACTGGGAGGAAGAATGGGTGTGAGCAAGCACGCCTACTCTGCAGAGCACAAGCCTATTGATTAGCTCTAAGAAAGTTCCTCTTTCCTGGCTCACTGTTCCCTGAAAAGGATTCATAGAAACTGCAACTACCCATAAAACCTAGCGCTAGCCTAATCTTCACCTGAAGCGCCTTGTTCCTCCCAGCAAAAGAGCTACAACAAGGAGAGGTCATGTCCAGCTCTGAGCCTTATAGCCCACCTCTCCCCCACAAGAAACCACAGAACTGGACAGAGAACAAACCTCTGACTCTGAGATGAGAACACCCTGGCCTCTGGGTCCTCCTTGTCTGAACCAGTAAGAGATTGATATGGTTTATCCTCAGTGACTTGTCTAGACTCTTCTTTTTTACCTAATTCTTTGGCATTTATCATATTTATCTAGCTCTTGTTTAGAATTTAACCTGTCACTTATTTATTGTCAACTAGTCCACAGCTGTTAAACGAAATTCCTCTTAGTGTATCTTCTTAGGATTGGAATGAATTCCTGATGGAGTCTGCAACCTAAATACACCCCTATTTAAGGTCACTAGAGAAAGAAGACACTCCCCAGAATTCATCACTCCATCCATCTTCCTTTCTTCCTCTCTTTCTTCCTTCTTCTCCCTCCCCTCTTCCTTGTTTCTATCTCCCTCTTTCTCTCTCTCTCTCTTTCTTTTTAACACTAACCTCTCATAATAATATCCCAGCTACCTTATAGGACCCCAATATCTTGAATAAATCGATTAATAGCAAATGAATACCTCTATTACAGTAGTTCTCAGTCAAGGATGATTTTGTCCCCGAGGAGACATGTAGCAATCTTTGGAGACATTTTTGGTTGTCACAACCTGGATTGGGGGGATGGGGTGCTACTAACACCTAAAGAGATACAGGCTGGGAATGCTGTTGAACATCTTACAATACACAAGACAGTCCCCCATGATGAAGAATTATCTGACCCCGAATATCAATAGTGCTGAGGCTGAAAAAGCCGGGTCCGTAAGTCTACTCTTCCAGGCAGCCTTAGGTACAAATGGACACTGTGATCTGAAGGTGTCAACGTGTTTTCTGGAGGCCACTGTCACACTGGTAAAGTGCTCTTGGAAATGCCAAATCCAGTAACTGAAGAACTTTTGGGTGATAGACATAGCATTTTTTTCAACAATGCTTTTAAACTTAGTCCTACCAAATAAGTAAACACAGAACACACCAGCTTTGTAAGAAATACTGCTCTCTGGGAAGAAAATGTCCTACTCACAGCTTGACAATAGGCTCTAACAGCACAGCTGCAGGAACCTGTCACAGCTTCCCTGTATTTATTCGAATAACACAGCCACACAGCCCTCCTTTATCAGTGAGCACTGGATTACCATTACCGTATTTCTCCATGTATAAGATGCACCCTTTTTTGAAAAATTTGGGGTCTAAAAACTGTGGGCATCTTATACAGTGGTTGTAGATTTCAAATGCCATAGATGGAACGGAGGACGAGGCAATATATGAAGACAGTGATTCATCATCAGACACAGATGAGGACAAGCTAATGGTTGAGAGTTTTGACAGTGATGAGGAGTTGTATGAATTTTATGATGAATAAAATTTGAGTTCAATAACTTTACGTAATACATTTTTCCTCAAATTTCGGGCCCCCAAATTAAAGTGTGTCTTATACATGGGGAAATACGGTGAATCACACATCATTCTAGGTAGACACACACAGCTCCAGCTGTTATCACCTCTTACCTGGGTGGACAATCCTTTTCATGGCACTTCTTCTGTCTCCCATTGGGCTGTGTTTCTGGGTCACAGAACGTAGCTTTCACCATCCCGTGGCCCTTCTTCACGCAATGGGCAGTCTGGCGGCGGATACCTGAGGTCGGGCAGAAAGGTTCACACATACTGAAAGCTCGGCGTCAGGTGAGGCCCCTGGTCATGTCAAGTGACCATGCTGATAGCTGCTGGGAAAGTGTCCCTAGGTATTTGGCTCTTCAAGTAGGGATAAGGAACGCGGACCTCTTATTATCTACGCTCATGCTGCTGCTGGCAGTGGGTGGAAGGACTACAGATAATATAGGCAGATTAATATGTAATCTAATATATAGATTGTGTTCTAGCTAAGAGACAAGACTAACACACATATGCCAAATAAAAAACAAAGTGGGATTTAAATAACAAAAGCAGATAGCTCCACCAGGTGTGATAACACAATTGCTACATTATTCGTTTAGTAAAGGAATAGAGGAGGTAGGGACTTTCAAATTAGTTGGGGTTCATAAACTCTGAAAGACAGGAATAAAATTCAAGATAATGTTGTGAAGTTTGAGAGGTTATGTTTTTCACGTAGAGGGGTTTGATAGCAAGAATAATACAGCTGCCTTTAGAGACCAAGTCGGTAGTATAAGAGAAGCACACAAGGAGTGTCAGGGGCTGCAGGCAAACCAAGCACATCTGTAAGCTGGACTTGACTTTGGATATATAATAATAGCTAACACACATAGTGCATGCCATGTCCCAGCTGCAGGTGCTGTTCTAAACTATGTGTGTGTGTGTGTGTATCCCAGACAAACATATATATATATATGTATATATGTATATATGTGTGTATACACACACACACACACACACACACACACACACACACACATATATATGGTATTACTAATTATATAATAATTATCAATTATATAATAATCTAAGTGAAAACCCACAATAACCCAATGAGGTTAACACTGTCATTATCACTTTGTGACAAATGACAAAACTGAGGCACACTGAAGTCACACAGGTTGAGAAAGGAAAAGGACCACTGGCTTTGCTAACTAGGATATCATTACCAAGAGAACTTAGCAGGGTGATCAGAATATCACAGCTTATAAGGTGAGGGGCAGCGAGGGAGACAGTCATTCTCTCTCTTAGATAACAGTCAATGTTAAAGGTGCAATACTGGGTGAGGAGGCTGAAGCCAGACTCCCAGGGGACAGAGCAGTCAGCTTGCATGAAGGCTGGCCCCTGAGCTCTCAGGGCAGCCAGACGCTGAGTCGGTTCACTGGTGTAGAGAACTCCAGAACTAGAAAGGCCACGAGCACACCAATAAGCTGATCGCCTCCTGACTTCACTGGCGAGGACATGGCGGAGTTTCCCCAAAGCCACACAGAGCGCAGGACCGACCTGGAGCCAGCTCTCCTACCACTCATCACGTCACACTGCCTCATGCGGACTTGGCCCAGCCCAATCGACCCGGCTGGCTTGCATACTCAGGTGCCGGAGATGGCAGCCCGCCATTTAAAAACATCAGAGGGAGTTGCAAAAACAGTAAATGAATTCTTTGAAATGAATCAACAGCATTCTATTGTTAAATAAAACAATAGCTTATTCTCTTTGAAAAGATAGGTAACCTTGCAAACATGCAGGCTTTCTCCACAGATAGACTATGTCTGCTTCTTCTTTAATGCATATAAATAAAATACTTTCAGCAGCTGAAAGCAACATTATAAAAGGAAATTTCATGGCACCACAAGTGAGTCATTGTTTGGAAAGACACAAACTCTTAGACGATGTGAGTGGAATAGAAAATGAAAAGCGTTGAAGCCAGAAACGCTGACATGTGTCTGCATTATAGAGTAGGAAACAGAAAAGGCTTAGATACTTAGAAATTTTATTAAAATGTCGGGTAGTTTGGCAAATTCTTGACGTCAACTTAAAAGGAAGCTGTTAGGTAACTGTCAGGTGACTCTAAGAGGTTGGAAACATCCCCAAAAAGGCTTGTTTCTGTGCACGAACAGCAAAGATAAGTGTGCTCAGTGCTCCTGACTCTAGAGATAAAAGGGCACAAAACAGTACATCAAATCCCCTTCAGAACATTAATGACATTGCGTGGGTCAGTCCACTGGACCGGCAGAGGTGAACAGATCGATTGGCCAGATGAACAGGTAGATACCGTCAAATTCATAAGGGAAAATTAATAACGATGTGTCAGAGTATCTCTGTTGGAATTAAACCTCCTGGTGACCATTAATCTTCTATTCCCCTAGCCCTTGAGTTCTCACATGACAGATACAAAGCTAAGCCCAAATCTCTCATGAGAGGCCCCAACCTAATACCCTGACTTCTCCCATGGTACAGAAATGCAATACCTGGCCAGGTGCTTCTTCCTCAATTCTGGTGCTTGTGTGTTCATTTGGTAAAATGTAATCTATAATTCCATTCCTTATCAAATATCTGGTTAAAAAAATACAACAAATAAATAAAACCCAAGAGTCCTAGGTTCTGGTCCCTGCTTTTCCTTCTACACATCACTTGACTAACTGCAGGAAGATGAGAATAGGAACCTTCAGACCATTTCAGGGCAGGACGCTGAGCTGGTTAATCCCTGGAAGTGACTCCTACATTTAAAAATCTATAATCCATGAAGGGAAGACAAAGTTAAAGTTTAATCATTGGAAACCTTGTATGAGAGGATTCTCTGGTTAATACAATTTTACGGTTTCCTTAGAAAATAGTTTGTTGCAGCTGTTGTCAGAATATTGCAAAATTATATTAGCTCATATTGCCTTAGTAAATGTGTACGAGTATACAGCAAGGCCTAGTTTACAATGATGGCTGCAACAATCTCTCATCTAGCACATTCTTTCCATAATGCGACCATGCCATCTCTCCATCAAGATGCGGTGTCTAGTTACGCTGGCCTTGGATCAAAAGCAAGAGTGATGCTGTGTGAGTTCAGAGGCTAGCTCATAAAAGGCCATGCAACTTCCGTCTGATTCCTTTGGATCTCTCCCTCTCAGGACACTCCAGACATTAAGGTGTAAAAAGCCCACACCCTTGGAGAGGCCAGGTGTAGGTGCTCTACTTGACAGTCCCAGATGAGCCCAGCCCTGGAGTCTTCCAGCCCAGGTGTCAGTCATGCGAGTAAAGGAACCTCCAGGTGATTCCAGTTCCTGGCCATTTGAGTCACCCCCAGCCATCTGAGTCATCTAGGTTAGATGCCAAGCATTGTGGAGCAGAGACAGGCCATTCCTATTGTGCCTTGTCTAAATTTCTGACTTATGGAATTCATGAACATAATAAAATGATGGTTGTTTTGGGGAGGCCGAGTGGCGCAGTTGGTTAGCGCAGGTGGCTCAGATGGTTAGAGCGGGTGCTCTGAACAACAAGGTGCCGGTTCGATTCCAGCATTCCTGTGCCACCTTCCCCACACCCCCCCACCCGTCCCTCCCCTCCCTGAAGCTATCGATAGATTGAAAACGGCAACTGGACTTGGAGCTGAGCTGTACCCTGCACAACTAGATTGAAACAACTACTTGACTTGGAGCTGATGGGTCCCGAAAAAACACATTGTTCCCCAATAAAATTTAAAAAGAAAAAGATGGTTGTTTTATTGCACTAAATTTAGGCTGGTATGTTATAAAGCAGCAGTAACTGGAACAGCACTCAATAAATGCTAGCTTTCTTTCATTCTCAAGTCAAGACCCAGAGCTGCAATCCAGCTTGGCTTGCTAGTAGCCTAACCACTACTGAATTTTAAAAAATCTCTTCTGTGTTACATTTCTGCTGCTTGTCTCTCCAGATCCACTCTGCACCTGCTCTGAGCCCCAGACAGCTGTTCCTATGGATTGTAGTGTCTTCCCGTTGGGTTTAGGAAATGGAGCACTGTCTCTTTCGATAACTGCTTCTTCCCCTTACTTACTTCTCATGTGTCCCACCCTCCACTGTTAACAGGCAGGGGTAATGCATTCCCTTTCTTAGTTTCCCCAAACCCTACCCACACCTTGGAAGGTAAAGTAGTCAAGGTATTCAGTTTGGGTGTGCCATATGTTTTCTGCAGGAAGCCCTGACTGATAATGTCTCCTTGACAGTAAAAAACTCAAACTATTCATCTTGAGTGACATACTCATTAATTAAACTCTGTAAACCAATTTCTTGAATAATAGAATCTTCCTCTGACATAGGATATTGTTATACCTCTTGTGAAGGGGATCAGATCAGGTCATCCTTTAAGAGCAGTGATCATGATGTAACATTGCAAATGCAGAAAGTGTAAGAAATTAGGCTGAAACTATATGACCTTGACCTTTCCATGGAAACTAAAGAAAGAAAAAAATGATACCGGCTTTTAATTTGGCTTGCCTTTTGTCACTTTCTCTTACACGCTGAACAGAGCTGAAAAAGAAATTTTACTTAATTAAGGATGACAATCAATATGTTGTCACAGCACAGAATCGGCTGCTTATCTGGAAGTATTTACTGGAAAAAGACATTAAGTATAAATCAATCACATTCTCAAATATATGAGAATCAAATTCAAAATGTGATTTCCATAGGATTCTGAGTCTCTCCATGTAGCAATGAGAATGTCACCATGCAGCTGTAAACACTTGGTAAATCTTGGATACTAGCCGTGAAAGCTCAATTAAGAGCCTTTACTTTTAAGAACTATCTTCCTATATCCATTAGCCTGATCATCGAGAGTGGAAATTCTGACTTGATATAAAGAACAAGTAAAGTTACTTATGTCTAAGAAAAAAAAACAAAAACAATGACATAGCTTATCATATTCTCAATTCAATATTGAGACTGTAAAATAGAGGAAGCCTATTAACTGGTTAATTCAGTTCATATAGGATTTTTCCTGATTCAAAAATTCAATTTAAGAAGGATATAGGGAAAACAACTGACGACATTGCTCATTGTAATGAGCTATGGTGAAAAAATGCAATATTTCCTATTATATCTAAACTTAAGATTAGAGATACTTAAGGCACTAAATATTTAATCACATCATCTGAAAGAGATTCAAAGAGATTGAAGACTATATACCCAGTCTTTAAAATACTGACAAAAAACAAGATCTCTTTCTTTATAACCACTTAA